ATGTCTAGCCCAGATACGGCAAATCCAGAAGCACCACCACCTGCATCAGGTCCAGCTAATGCTGAGGTAAGTTTTTGTTGTTAGCATTAGATTAATTTTTTGTCTAAGTTATTTTAATTTTTTTGTTGCACTATAGTTTATAATTAAAATTTTTTTTGCAAATGAGTTTGAATGAAGTTTTTTTGTTGATTTATAGAAGATTTTTTTAATTCATTTTATATAAATTGTTTTTCGTTACTTTTTATTAATAACTTTTTCAAAATCTTTCTTTACGCTTTATTAAATAATTTTCAAAATTTATGTCTGATTCAGTTCAAATAAATTACATTTTAACTCCCCTTTTCAATTAATATTTTACAATTTTAATCCTCTTATTTTTATTTATTAATTTAATCTTTTAATAATTTGTTTATAATTTAATTGAATTTCATTTATATCAATTGAAATTACAATTTTATTTTTCTATTTTTCCCTAAATACCATTTTGGTTTATTGCCAAATATATAGGAGAAAAAGGACATAAACATCATTCAAGCATTACCACCATTTGATAAATTATTACAAAATCATTTCAAATTCATTTTTCTATTTCAACATTTCAAATCATTTTCTTCTTCCTCTTACCAAAAAAAACTTTATTTGTTTCTCATTAGCGAAATGGTCTTAGTGTCGTCTGCCGCCTGTTTAAACTTGCTGCAGCAGGTACATTTTCTTTCTTGGAGAGAGTCCTAGTTGGCAACGGTCAAAAGGGTTTTTTTCTGGTTTTCTTTTCTAAATTTTATTTCACTAATTTACATAACAAAACATGCTGGTAATTAGGTTTTTAAATGTGATTTCATTTCATAAGGTATGGGTTTACATACATACACATGTAATGTATGTAGTAATCTATAGTTGTTCTTTTTTAAATAGTTGCCAAGTTTACATATAAAGAATCATCGAGATTCTCTTTTTATTCGCTCTTAAAAGCAAAATAGAGATTAAATGAAATGAAATGTTGGTATAAAAAGTGGGTTAATGTTATGATATTATCTATAGTTCAGACTATGGTCTTGACTATAATTTAATCTAAAGTCTCGACTATAACAAGGTCTAAAATCTTGACTATGATCTACACCACAGTTTAACTATAATCTCGACTGCAGTATGGTCTGTAGACCTTTCTATAATCTGGTTTAGACTATATATCAGTCTATGGTCCAGACTATAGACTGATATATAGTTGAGACTATAGACTGATCTATAGTTGAGACTATAGAACTATCTATAGTTGAGACTATAGAACTATCTATAGTTGAGACTATAGAACTATCTATAGTTGAGACGATAGAACTATCTATATTTGAGACTATAGACTGATCTATAGTCTAGACAATATATTTATCTATATTCCAGACTATATAGGATGTAGACTTATCTATATTCTAGACTAAAGACTGATCAATAGTCTGGACTGTAGGCTGATCTATAGTCACTACTGATCTATAATTTAGACCATAGACTGATCTGTAGTCTAGTCTAGTCTATAGACTGATCTAGTCTCGACTATAGTCTAGTCTATAGTCTGATTTATAATATAGACTATAGTCTGGTCAATAGTCTCGACTATATATGGTCTATGGTACAACCTGATCTGTAGTCTAGACGATAGACTGATCAAAAGTCTTGACCATATACTGATCTATAGTCTTGACTATAGACTGATCTATAGTCTTGATTGTAGACTGATCTATAATCTAGACTACAAAGTGATCTATAGTCTAGACTAGAAACTGATCTATAGCCTTGATTATAGGCAGATCTATAGTCTTGACTATAGATTGAACTATAGTCTAGACTACAAACTATAAACTAATCTATAGTCTAGACTATAGGCTGATGTAAAGTCTTATCTATAGACTGATCTATAGTCTTGGCTATAGACTGATCTATAGTCTTGACTATAGACCGATCTAAAGTCTTGACTATAGACTGATCTATAGTCTTGACTATAGGCTGATCTATAGTCTAGACTACAAACTGATCTATAGTCTAGACTATAAACTGATCTATAGCCTAGACTATAAACTGATCTATAGTCTAGACTACAAACTGATCTGCAATCCAGACTATAAACTAATCAATAGTCTTGGCTATAGGTTGATCTATAGTCTAGACTACAAACTGATCTATAGTCTAAACTATAACTGATCTATAGTCTCGACTATAGACTGATCTAAAGTCTTGACTATAGACTGATCTATAGTCTTGACTATAGATTGATTTATAGTCTCAACTGTAGTCTGATCTACAGTCTAAACTGTCAAATGATCTATAGACTATAGAACGATCTATAGTCTAGACTATAGACTGATGTATAGTCTAAACTATAGACTGATCTATAATTTAGACCGTAGCCTGATCAATAGTCTTGGTTAGATGAGCCTATAGACTGATCTATAGTCTATCTATACACTGATCTATATTCTTTACTTAGACTGATCTATAGTCTAAACTATAAACTGATCTATAGTTTAAACTATAGACTAATCTATAGTCTAGACTATGGACTGATCTATAGTACAGACTATAGACTAATCTGTAGTCTAGATGGTAGACTGATTTATAGTTTAAAATATAGACTGATCTATAGTCTAGACTATAAAATGTTCTATAGTGTAAACTATAAGCAGATCCATAGTCTATTTTATAGACTGATATATAGTTTGATTTATAGCCTGGACTATAAACTGATCTATAGTCTGGACTATAGACTGATCCATAGCCTGCACTATAGACTAATCCTGGATAAACTGATCTGGACTGTAGATTGATCTATTGTCTCGACTAGAGTCTGGTCTATCCACTGTTCTATAGTCTGGTTTAAAGTCTTGCCTCTAGTGTGATCTATAGTCTCGATTATCTATAGGTCTCCACATACCACTTCACTCACTTTTCTTCTTCAATTATCTTTTAATTTTTCATAAATTTGTTTCTTTTACAATTTTTTCTATTCCAATTTTTCAACGAAATTTATTTCAAAACAACTCACTATCAGTATTTAAAACTTAATTTAATATAATTTATTAATTTCAATTGACCCTCTAAACACTTTTGCTAAGAGGCCAGCTTCAACCATTAATTTGCAAAGATTTAGTTTCAAGTACTTTTACTTATTATGATTAATTTGAAATTAATGGAAAATAATTTCTTGTTAAATTTTATTTTTATTTTTTGCTTGAGCTTTTTTTTATCCTTTATTTAAAGATTTTATTAACGTTAATATTGAGGCTTAAATGTTTGTTGTTTGCTTAACTTTTTGCCTTAATTTTGTTATTATTATTTATTTTGGTTTTATGTTTTAACCAGAGAATAAGTAGAATATTATTATGGCCTTGTTGTTTTATTTATTTGTAAATCCCTTAAATGGAAAATAAAATGAAGCAATGAGAAGAGAGTTAGATTTGACAATTGGTTGGTAACATAATAAGGATTAAACGGGATGAGTCTATAGTCTACACTACAGTCTGTAGTTAAGACTTTAGGTTGGCAATGTTCTCGACTAAAGTTTGGTATAAAGACTGGACTATAGTCTCTATTATAATCTGGTCTATAGCTTCAACTATAGTGTGTAGTTTAATCTATAGTCTGGTCTATAGTCTCGATTATAGTCTGGTCTATAGCCTCGATTATAGTCTGGTCTATAGTCAGGTCTAAAGTCTCGACTATGGTCTGGTCGATTATAGTCTGGTCGACTATAGTCTGGTCCATAGTCTCGACTATAGTCTCGACCATAGTCTGGTCTATAGTCTCGACTATAGTCTGGTCTGTTGTCTCGACTATAGTGTGGTCTGTTGTCTCCACTATAGTGTGGTCTATACTCTTGACTATAGTCTGGTCTATAGGTTTGAATATATTCTGTTCTAAAGTCTCGACTATAGTCTGTTCTATAGTCTTGACTATAGTCAGGTCTATAGTCTCGACTATAATCTGGTCCATAGCCTCGGTATAGTCTGGTCTATAGCCTCGACTGTAGTCTGGTCTATAATCTCGACTGTAGTCTGGTCTAAAGTCTCGACTATAGTCTGGTCGACTATAGTCTGGTTCATAGTCTCGACCATAGTCTGATCTATAGTCTCGTCTATAGCGTGGTCTATACTCTCGACTATAATCTGGTCTATAGTTTCGAATATATTCTGTTCTATAGTCTCGACTATAGTCTGGTCTATAGTCTGATTTATAATCTAGACTATAGTCTGGCCTCGACTAGAGTCTGGTCTATAGCATCGACTATAGTCTGGTTTATAGTCTCGACTATAGTCTGGTCTATAGTCTGATTTATAATCTAGACTAGAGTCTGGTCTATAGTCTCAACTATAGTCAGGCCTATAGTCTCGACTATAGTCTGGTCTATAGTCTCGACTATAGCCTCGACTAGAGTCTGGTCTATAGTCTAGACTATAGTCTGATCTGACTACAGTCTGGTCTATAGTCTCGTCTATAATCTCGACTACAGTCTGGTCTATAGTCTCGACTATAGTCTGGTCTATAGTCTCGACTATAGTCTGGTATATAGTCTCGACTTTAGTATGGTCTATAATCTCGACTATAGTCTGTTCTATAGCCTCGAATATAGCCTGTTCTATAGTCTCGACTATAGTCTGGTCTATAATCTCGACTATAGTCTGATCTATAGTCTCGACTATAGTCTGGTCTATAGTCTCGACTATCGTATGGTCTATAGTCTCGAATATTGTCTGGTCTATAGTCTCGACTATAGTCTGGTCTATACCCTCGACTATAATCTGTTCTATAGTCTCGACTATAGTCTGGTCTATTGTCTGGACTATAGTCTGGTCTATTGTCTCGACTATAGTGTGGTCTATAGTCTGGTCTATAGCCTCGATTTAGTCTGGTCTATAGTCTCGATTATAGTCCGGTCTATAGTCTACTATAGTGTACTCTATGGTCTCATTTATACTCTGGTCTGTGGCCTATATAGTCGTACAATACTTTTGCTTCGTCTTAGTTTTCCTTACAATTATTGCTTGTTTTCCACTTAAAATCGTTTCCTATTTTTTTGCATGCCCGTTTAGTTACAATTTGTTAGATAATAAACTTCAAAGATTTATAAATACTATATATAAGGAATAAAATATCAAAATAATAACTAAGATATTCGCCTCCTCTACCAATAAAAATAACAAAAACAAACGGTTTATCTACTGAAACTTCATTAATATGGCTGACATGATAATCTTTATGATGATGATGACGATGTTGATGGCGGGGATATATATTTTTTGGGCAAATATTTGTTTAACAGTTAAGTCATCATCAATATGAATTCAACAATAAATTGTTGGTAAGAAATTGTAAACATTTACAAAATAGGCAGCAGGAGCAACAAAAACAAAATTTTCAACGTAATGGTTACCAAAGTAAAAGGAACTATAGTAAAGAGGATTATGTGGGTAATAATGATGATAATCTTAGCAGAGGTTTAAGTTTGGAAAGTTATAATTCTTTATATGAAGCAGAATTAAATAGTTGGCCTCGCCACACACAACACAACCAACAACAGCAGCATCTGCTGCAACAAATCAAATTTGATAGCATTAATAATATAAAGCAGGCTTATGGTGGCAGTAATACTGGTATTAGTAATCAAAACGGAAGTATTTGTGGTAAGTTAATGGCTGATGGTGGCCACCGTATGAATGGGTTAAATGGTCAACATTTAAATGCTGCAACTAAAGGAACAGCAACAACACCAACGTTTCAACATATCATTTATAATAACGAGACCTATGAGACACATTTAACGCATAGACAACATCCTAAAGAAGAGGACGACGATGACCATGATGATGATGATGCTGATATTGATAATATGGCCAAAACGGCATTGGCCTCCAATAAGACATATAAAAAATTTGTTTTACCCTTGGATATACCAACGCCTCCATTGCCTCTTAGCTATAATACAACTAAACGACTCTTAAGCTCACACAATCATCACACACAAACCTCTTCCGCCACCTGCCAATGTGATAAACAAACGAATTTTGCACTACAACCGCACAATAACTGTAGCATTAGCACTAACTCGAATAATAACAACAACAACAACAACAGCAATATAAAAAACCAGGTAAATCATATCAGTTTTATACAAACAACACCAACCCAGACACCACCCTCAAAAAAAGAAAATTTAAAATTACTGCATAATAAAGGCAGCAGCTCTAGCAGTACTCTTAGTGGTAGCATTGGTTGTGGTGCTCTTAATTTTAATGTAAGTGACCAACACCTGCCACACCACGAACCACTGCAACATCATCATCTATGCCAGCAAAAAAATTTAAAACTACAACATGCCACACATCAGCATCACCATCATCATCATCAACAACTACAACAGCAGCAGCAACATCACTCGCAGCCACATTGCCAGCAAAAACTACAACACCAACAATTACCTTCATATGATGCATACGCATCACAACATTATTTGCCTCAACTGCCACAACTACTCAGTATTAATAGTAGCAACCAACAGAATTCATTAACATTATCACATCGCCGTATGGCTCCCACATTTAATCGTATCGCTGATAAAAATTATATGAAGGTAAGCCGATTTTGGTTTTATCGCCCATTCCCCAAACTGCCTACCAGCCAGCCCTTCCTGCTCCAGCAAAGCCGTAATGATGGCTTTCTTCCATGTGGTTTTATTTTTTATTATTTATCGTTTTTTTTTTTCCTTTCTTCCTAATCTATAAAAGATTTTTTTGTTGTTGTTGTGTACTTAGTCTCTCTTTCCCTATATTTAATGCTCATGGCCAGTTTAATGAAGCCTGACAGGTATAACGAGGGTTGTAGAGGAAAGTTGTATTAGCAATGGTAACTTGGAAGTCAAATATTTATGGAATTCACGATTAGACAATAGTCTGATCTATAGTCTGGACTATAGGTTGATTTGTAGCCTGGAATATAGACTAATCTATATTCTGGACTATAAACTAATTTATATTATGGACTATAGACTAATCTATAGTCTGGACTATAGACTAATCTATAGCCAGGACTATAGACTGATCAATAGTCTGGACCATAGACTGATCTATAGCCTGGACTATAGACTGATCTATAGCCTGGACTATAGACTGATCTATAGCCTGAGCTATAGACTGATCTATAGCCTGAACTATAGACTGATCTATAGCCTGGACTATAGACTAATCTATAGTCTGGACTATAGACTAATCAATATTCTGTACTATTGACTAATCTATAGTCTGGACTATAGACTAATCTATAGTCTGGACTATAGACTAATCTATAGTCTGGACTATAGACTAATCTATAGTCTGGACTATTGAATAATCTATAGTCTGGACTATAGACTAATGCATAGTCTGGACTATAGAGTAATCTATAGTCTCGACTATAGACTAATCTATAGTCTAGACTATAGACTAATCTATACTCTGGACTATAGACTAATCTATAATCTGGACTATAGACTAATCTATAGTCTGGACTATTGACAAATCTATAGTCTGCACTATAGACTAATCTATAGTCTAGACTATATACTAATCTATAGTCTGGACTATAGACTAATCTATAGTCTGGACTATAGACTAATCTATAGTCTGGACTATAGACTAATCTATAGACTGGACTATAGACTAATCTATAGTCTGGACTATAGACTAATCTATAGTCTGGACTATAGACTAATCTATAGTCTGGACTATAGACTAATCTATAGTCTGGACTATAGACTAATCTATAGTCTGGACTATAGACTTATCTATAGTCTGGACTATAGACTAGTCTATAGTCTGGACTATTGACAAATCTATAGTCTGCACTATAGACTAATCTATAGTCTAGACTATATACTAATCTATAGTCTGGACTATAGACTAATCTATAGTCTGGACTATAGACTAATCTATAGTCTGGACTATAGACTAATCTATAGACTGGACTATAGACTAATCTATAGTCTGGACTATAGACTAATCTATAGTCTGGACTATAGACTAATCTATACTCTGGACTATAGACTAATCTATAATCTGGACTATAGACTAATCTATAGTCTGGACTATTGACAAATCTATAGTCTGCACTATAGACTAATCTATAGTCTAGACTATATACTAATCTATAGACTATTCTATAGTCTGGACTATAGACTAATCTATAGTCTGGACTATAGACTAATCTATAGTCTGGACTATAGACCAATCTATAGTCTGGACTATAGACTAATCTATAGTCTAGACTATAGACTAATCTATAGTCTAGACTATAGACTAATCTATAGTCTGGACTATAGACTAATCTATAGTCTGGACTATAGACTAATCTATAGTCTGGACTATAGACTAATCTATAGTCTGGACTATAGACTAATCTATAGTCTGGACTATAGACTATTCTATAGTCTGGACTATAGACTAATCTATAGTCTGGACTATAGACTAATCTATAGTCTGGACTATAGACCAATCTATAGTCTGGACTATAGACTAATCTATAGTCTAGACTATAGACTAATCTATAGTCTAGACTATAGACTAATCTATAGTCTGGACTATAGACTAATCTATAGCCAGGACTATAGACCGGTCTATAACCAGGTCTATAGACCAGGACTATAGTACAGACTATAGATCAGTCTATAGTCCAGACTCTGTACTGTAGACTAATCTATAGTCTGGACCATAGACTAATCTATAGTCTCGTCTATAGACTAATCTATAGTCTTGACAATTGACTAATCTATAATATGTAGTCTGGACTATAGACTAATCTATAGTCTGGACTATAGACTAATGTATAGTCTGGACTATAGACTAATCTATAGTCTGGACTGTAGACTAATCTATAGTCTGGACTATAGACTAATCTATAGTCTGGACTATAGACTAAACTATAGTCTGGTCAATAGACTAATCTATAGTCTGGACTATAGACTAATCTATATCCTTGACTATAGACTAATTTATAGCCTAGACTATAGACTAATCTATAGTCTGGACTATTGACTAATCTATAGTCTGGACTATAGACTAATCCATAGTCTGGACTATAGAGTAATCTATAGTCTGTACTATGGAGTAACCTACAGTCTGGACTATAGACTAATCTATAGTCTGGTCTATAGACTAATCTATAGTCTGGACTGTGGTCTAATCTATAGTTTAATCTAGACTAAAGACTAATATAAAGTCTGGACTATGAACTAATCTATAGTCTGGACTATAGACTGATATATAATCTGGACTATACATTGATATATAGACTGGACTATATACAGATCTATTGTATGGACTATAGACTGAGCTATACTCTGGATTAAAGACTGTTCTATAGTCTGAACTAATCTATAGTCTGGCGTATAGACTGACCTATAGTCTGGACTATATTCTGATTTAAATTATAGCTTAAAACTGATCTATAATCTGAACTAAAGACTGACATAAGTATAGTGTGGTCTATGTTCCGATTGAGTTTCTTAACAGCTTTGCCATCTATCTCTTTTTATTATAAGCAAAACCTCTTCAAACAACCCTCGCTATAAACTACCATTTATTTCAATTAAAGGAAATAAGAACTTCAATCAACATTTTTGCTTTCATAACATTTAAGTGTGTTTGTGTGTTGAGAAATTATTATTAATCAATCAATTTATTATCATTATTATATGTATAAAAAAGTCTTAATTCAAGGCAATGTGAGAAGAACAAGGGAAATATTATAGAAAATATAGAAAATAAATTTATAACAAAGTTTTGCAAAATCCTTAGCACCCACACCTCAAGCTGTATTCAATTAGTTAATACATTTGTTTATAAGCTTAATTTTATGATTTAAGTGTTTTATGATAAATGAAATTATAAACAAAAATATTAAATTAAATTGATTTTAGGAAAAGAAGATAAATAAGGAAGAATATGATGGAAATATAAATAAAGGTGATGGTAGAGAGAGGATACAAAATGTAAAACTAAATTTTGTTTTTAACTGACCCCTTTTTAATTTAGTGACCTTAACTTTTAAATTTAGGTTTATTATGGGTTTTTTTCGCTTCAATTAAATTAAACAATTATTCATTAAACTTCAACTACTGAACTACTTAAATGTTTTATTAAAAATTACAACGAAATCTTGCATAATAACAACAACAAAACTTGATCCCACTTTAAAAAGATTTTGCATTCGTTCAACAAAACACAGACTTTAAAATAATAAACTTTTAAAACTGGTTTTATAAAAATTTATTGGAATTTTCTTGTTAACTTGTCTTTAAAACGTGATCGAATTGTGGTAACAGCTTAAAGCCAAAAAAAAATCGCAAAACAAAACACACACAACTCAAAAGCGTCAACTCTAGCTTAAACCTTTCATTTCAATTTAATTTATTTATTTGCTGCAGTGAATAATAAATGTTTATGTTTATATTGTTTTTCAACTTGTTTATTATAATAAAATTTATTTGTTTAACAAAAAAATTACAAAAAAAAGAAAGAAAAAGCAAAACAAAACAAACTAAAAACAGTAAATATTTGCACATGCGCGCACACAACCTAAAACAATTGTTCAGCAAAAGCGCAGACCATCGAAGCGTTGAAATCAGACAGAGAGTTATAAATAAAAAGCTGAGGCAACCTGAGCAATATTTTTAATAATTTTTTATTACACTATACTATCTACTAAGTTTCAGACCACAATTGCTGCACAATCGATGTACGTGCTTTGTATAAGCAAAGCTTTAAAAAACTTGGTAAGACTCTTGGTTAAACTCAAGTCAAATATACAAGTACGTTTATTACCAAATTCAGTTGGCGAATGGTTAAATACTGATCTTAGTTTTGGTAATAGAAAGTCTCTGGTACTAACTCTTCTCATCACCCAACAATGTTTATAAACAAGCCCCTCTGGAAACCAAAAATAAATTGCATAATAGTTACCTGCAGACCCCCTTTGCTTTAATAACTAAATATATTTTATGTAATTTCTTTATAATCTTTATTATCAGCTTATTACTTTTCACCATATACCTACATACAGTTGTATGTATAAGTATATTAATAGTCACCACAACAAAGTGCAGCAAAGTGTATGAGTAAATGGTTGCCATGACCATAAATGTTGAATGAAAAAAAAAAATAATAACTGGGTGAAGTGGGTTTAATTGAAAATACATGAAAAATTGCAATAAAAATGCAATAAGAGAGAATATTGTTAAAATTGTTAATAAAAAACGACTTAACAGTAAAAAATTAATAGAAAAATTTTATAAAATAAAAATCACTGGACTATAGACTAAACTGTAGACTAGAAAAAACTAGAGTAAATATATACTAGACCATGAAAAAGGCTAAAAACTAGACTATAAACTAGACAATAGACAAGGCTATAGACTAGACTATAGACTACACTATAGACTAGATTAGAGACTGGACTATAGACTAGATACGAGATTGGACCATAGACTAGACCATAGACTAGACTATAGACTAGACTATAGACTAGACTATAGACTAGACTATAGACTAGACTATAGACTAGACTATAGACTAGACTATAGACTAGACTATAGACTAGATTTAGACTAGAATGTAGACTAGACTATAGACTAGACTATAGACTAGATTCTAGACTAGAATGTAGACTAGACTATAGACTAGACTATAGACTAGACTATAGACTAGACTATAGACTAGGCTATAGACTAGACTTTAAACTATACTATAGACTAGACTATTAACCAGACTATAGACTGGACTATCGACTCTTTTATAGACTATACTATAGACTAGGCTATAGACTAGATTATAGACTAGACTATAGACTAGACTATAGACTAGGCTATAGACTAGATTATAGACTAGACTATAGACTAGACTAGACTATAGACTATAGACTCGACTATAGACTCGACTATAGACTAGACTATAGACTAGACTATAGACTAGACTATAGACTAGACTATAGACTAGACTATAGACTAGACTATAGACTAGACTATAGACTAGACTATAGACTAGACTATAGACTAGACTATAGACTAGACTATAGACTAGACTATAGACTAGACTATAGACTAGATTATAGACTAGAATGTAGACTAGACTATAGACTAGACTACAGACTAGACTACAGACTAGACTACAGACTAGACTACAGACTAGACTATAGACTAGACTATAGACTAGACTATAGACTAGGCTATAGACTAGACTTTAAACTATACTATAGACTAGACTATTAACCAGACTATAGACTGGACTATCGACTCTTTTATAGACTATACTATAGACTAGGCTATAGACTAGATTATAGACTAGACTATAGACTAGACTATAGACTAGGCTATAGACTAGATTATAGACTAGACTATAGACTAGACTAGACTATAGACTATAGACTCGACTATAGACTAGACTATAGACTAGACTATAGACTAGACTATAGACTAGACTATAGACTAGACTATAGACTAGACTATAGACTAGACTATAGACTAGACTATAGACTAGACTATAGACTAGACTATAGACTAGACTATAGACTAGACTATAGACTAGACTATAGACTAGACTAGACTAGACTAGACTAGACTAGACTAGACTAGACTAGACTAGACTAGACTAGACTAGACTAGACTAGCCTAGACTAGACTAGACTAGACTATAGACTAGACTATAGACTAGACTATAGACTAGACTATAGACTAGACTATAGACTAGACTATAGACTAAACTTGACTATAGACTAGACTATAGACTAAACTTGACTATAGACTAGACTATAGACTAAACTTGACTATAGACTAGACTATAGACTAAACTTGACTATAGACTAGACTAGACTAGACTTTAAACTAGACTATAGACTAGACCATAAACTAGACTATAAACTAGACTCTAGACTATACACTGTACTATACACTAGACTATAGACTAGACTATAGACTAGACTATAGACTAGACTATAGACTAGACTATAGACTAGACTATAGACTAGACTATAGACTATACTATAGACTAGACTATAGACTAGACTATAGACTAGACTATAGACTAGACTATAGACTAGACTATAGACTATACTATAGATTACACTATAGACTATACTATAGACTACACTATAGACTACACTATAGACTACACTATAGACTATACTATAAACTAGACTATGAACTAGACTACAGACTAGACTATAGACTACACTATAGACTAGACTATAGACTAGACTAGACTAGACTATAGACTAGACTATAGACTAGACTATAGACTAGACTATAGACTAGACTATAGACTAGACTATAGACTAGACTATAGACTAGACTATAGACTAGACTATAGACTAGACTATAGACTAGACTATAGACTAGACTATAGACTAGACTATAGACTAGACTATAGACTAGACTATAGACTAGACTATAGACTAGACTATAGACTAGACTATAGACTAGACTATAGACTAGACTATAGACTAGACTATAGACTAGACTATAGACTAGACTATAGACTAGACTATAGACTAGACTATAGACTAGACTATAGACTAGACTATAGACTAGACTATAGACTAGACTATAGACTAGACTATAGACTAGACTATAGACTAGACTATAGACTAGACTATAGACTAGACTATAGACTAGACTATAGACTAGACTATAGACTAGACTATAGACTAGACTATAGACTAGACTATAGACTAGACTATAGACTAGACTATAGACTAGACTATAGACTAGACTATAGACTAGACTATAGACTAGACTATAGACTAGACTATACTTAAAATGTTTGTACTCGAGGTTTCATATCAGTCTTCTATCCGGAGTGTGGAATAGTTGGCCAGAGTTTGGCCTGACATTTTTATGACATATTTCAAATTTCTATATAATTGCATATAGAATAATTAGTTAAGTAACTGTTTAAAAAGCGCTAAAATTTCTGTTCAACCGGAACAAAGAATGTTGATTAAAAGTGTAAATATTACAGTTGTGTGAGAGATCAATATAAATATTGAAAAAGTAAGATAAACTAGTTTTTAAACAAATATTAATAAATTAACAAAAGAATTTATCTATGTGTTAGCACAATGGCTCGAATTATAACAAACTATAATAATTTTTAAAGAAAAATCTGCTGTTAAAAGAAATTTAACTACAAATGAAGAACAGGTTTCTTAGATTATATAACACTTATTTAAGTAACACCTAATATCCTTAAGTATTTCAGCATTTTTTTTAACAAATATTTAATATACATTTTTTCCTTTCCCTCCCTTTTCCCCTATTTAAATAGAATTTAGTCTACTCACCGGCAAAATTACGACGTGTTCGTATAATACTATGTGTAGTTGGTGGTATTGTACTGTTGGCTCTCTTGGGTACAGCAATCTACTTTATAGTAAGTGGCTCAGAAGATGGCACGAATAGTGGTGGTAATGGTAATGGAGGACCCTCGAATGGCATCCACTTAGAGGATGTACTACAAGGTAAATTAGTGGCAAGACATTTTAATGGCAGTTGGAGCGGCAATAATATAATCTACAAAGAGAATAATGTAAGTTTTAAACAAGTATAGACAGGAAATGAACATATTTTCAAAATGCTACTAAAAGAATTTTCAAAATTTTCAGGCCATTATGGAGTATAATGTGTTAACGAAAAAGAGTACACGGCTGCTGTTGG